CGCTAAGCTATATCGAAGGAGTCTACGCCCACATAATAAACGTATCTTTCTAAGCAGTCTAAGTAAGAAATAATATCGATCTATTCGTCGTTATTCCTTATAAGATACGACTAGACGTGCTAAGCGAATACGAATAAGATAGATACTTTTCTATCGAAGTATACTATACTAATCTCGCTATTATCGAATAGAGGAACTAGAAGATTAAGTTAATACGCGATATTATTACGATAGTAATTATTATAATAGTAGTAGTAGTACTCGACCTTTAGACTAGTCTGCGAAAGTTTACCGCGAATACCTTATCCGATAGTATAGCTATTATTATCGATTTATTTTTAAAATATATTATATTAAACGAAGTAATAATCTATAGAAAGTTTAAAGTAGTAGAATTCTTAATATATTTACTTAATAAGTATTAGAATCTTTTTATTAATTAATATTAAACGATAAATATATTAGAGAAGAAATAAATATTTATTCTCTTAAAGTTTAATATAATATCTAAATTTGTTAAGATATACTCGGTGGGATAAAAGAATAAGAAAGTTATCGATGCTACGTTTAATAAGCTATACGATTAAAGAAAAATAATGTAATCTAGATAACCTATATTATATAGCTACTTAGTTTTTATAGTTTAAAAGAATACTCTTAATAGTCGTAAGGGATATATTATAATAGATATACGCGAGCTTAATAAGATAATAGAAATAGATTCTTACTTATTATCTCTATAGTTAGAAATTATAATATTACTATTAAAATACGCGTATTTATTAACTATAGACGCCGTAGATTAATTTTATTAATTTCTTATAGCGCGTAATAATCGCTATAAATTTATAATAGTTAATTATAGAAGATAGAAAAAGTCTACTATCGCCTTAATAAGGTATAAGAGTTTTCTATTATATATTTAAAGATAGACGAATACTATACTGCGACCATTTAAAGCCTTTACGAAAGTATTTATAAATAATATCATTATCTTCTTATATACGTTATAAAAGCACCTTAGCCATCTTCGTTAGATCTTTAAGCTCTTTCGCAGTAAGCGAGTAAGCCTATCGCCTATTAAATTATTTATTAATTATTTATTAATTACTCTACTAAGCTAACGAGTTAATAAACTAGATATATTTATATCTCAAAAGAAGATTCACGTAATTATTAATCTACGATTTCTAGAAACACTGCGAGATCTCGAAATCTTCCTTAAACTTACGGGATAGCTTTATTCTTTAATTTCTTATTATACGCAACTTGCTAATCCGCTATAAGAACGAAAAATTATTCTCATCAAGAGCTTAGAAGCTGATGTTAAGAGTCCGTCACGTAAACGATCTACTACTAGAGTACTATTCTATACCCCTATCAAAGTAGAAGTAAAAGTCTTTCGTAAGCTTTAGTAAGCCTTTACTAACCTCTCTTTTCTAGTATATTACAACTCTATAAAACCTTTATTTATAGATCTAGACGCCTCTAAAAGCTTCGGATTTATTACTATAATATATTATTATAAGTAGAATTAAATTCTCGAAAGCTTAAATAAGATAGCGCGTATAGACGTTTAATTAATTATATTCTTAAGCTAGTGCTTAAATACAGCTAAGTATAATTACTAGTCTACGAAGTTAGAAGTCGCTAACATAGTATAGATCGTAAAAAAGATTCGATATATAATTAAATCTAGCTTAAAGCCGCCTATAATAGTCTACACTAACTATTTAGCTATAATTCTTATTTTTAAGCAAATTATATTTAATATTATTAGTATTAATAAACTTAATCTCCGCCTAATTTATACGTTTTAATATCTTTCGATATTTAATCTTAAGCTTCGCTATAAAATAAATAAATCTAATATCGTATCTAACGCACTATCGCGTTTACTATAGACTTTTATCACGCAATTTACGAAATCTAAGAAAGCACTCGATGCGTTATATAAGAGTATAAAATACTAGCCGAAGCCCTTAAGTATTACGCCTACCGAACCAGTAGCAATCTATTATACTACCCTTATGAAAATATTAGACGATTTTAAGTAGCGGTTAAAGCAAGATTATACTAAGGACCTTTATTAAAAGAGATTATTATAGATGTTAAAGTCTTTAATAGAGAACGCTATTGCTATTTTAGCAGCTATAAATATTACTTAAGTAGAGTCTATAAAGCGTATTCCTAGAATTCCATTTATACTAAGAGAAAGTCTTATCTATTATATCAACGACGAGAATAGATAGTATTTTAGCGTTTTACCTTCTATAGAGTAAGAGATATTCGAGCAAGCTTACGATCTATTCAACTATAGAGATTATCATAAATACTACGATCGATTATCTCATACGATTTTCATTAAACATCTATTTAAGCGCTTACGAATCTATATAGCATATTATTCTAAGTATTAACTTAATTAGATTAAGAGATATAAGCTATATAAGTCTCTTATTTCGATTATTACTCTAGCTATTTCTTTTTATATTATAGCTATAGACTTTATCGTTATCTTATCTCTTATTAAAGTAGAATATAACTATTTACTTATTATTACGTGTAAGGTTACTAAAAGAAATCTTCTAATATTAAGAAAGAAGACTTAAATTACTATTTAATAGATCGAGATAATACTTCGTACGTTATTATAATATAACTAAGGCGTATCAAGATATATTATTAGCGATCGCGACCTACGTTTTATATCTACTTTCTGAAAGGAGATCTTTAGTAGACTACACGTTAAGTTTCTAACGTCTATAGCCTATTATTTATAGACGAATAATTAATCCAAGCGAACTAACTAAATAGTAGAGATAGCCTTACGTTTTTATCTTACTGCGAATTCTAACGATAAATAGAATAAAATCTTACTATACATTTAGGCTACTTTTAATAACTCTTCGAGTAACATTATAGACCTAGCATCTAACGAATTATACTACGATTTTAAGATTAATAATGCTATAGATATATTACTTACGAATCTCTTAGTATCTACGAAAGCCTTTTATAAGCTTCGCCTAATTAAAAGAGAAGAGGCGAACGATGCTATAGTATTTTCATCTATTATTATAAAAGCAAGATACAATACGAAGTATTTAGCGCTAAATCTTAAGAAAGAGAATAACGTCTTTCTCAGACTATACCACGGATACTCGATTTTAAGTCTTTTAAATAGGAAACTCTTATAATAACGTATCGATCCCTTTAAGATTCTAGTAAAGATCGATTACTTGATATATTAATTAAAGCTATTATTAGTTATACGAATTTATTTAATAATATTAATCGCTTAGCTAGAGTTAGCTACTACTACTATAGTCGAAACTTCAGATTTATATAAGAGAAGAATTAATATAGAATCGTTATCTATTTATAACGAAGGAGATAACTTCGAAGTTAAAATAATTATAGATAAACGAATTACACGTGAAAAGCCTAAGTACTTACTATATTAGAAGGACTAGGACTACGAATACAATATATAGTATATAATCGAGGACTTATCTAATATAATAGAGCTAGTAAATAATTACGAACGTAAGCTAGCACTCATTCCACCTACTAGATAAAAGATAGATAAGAGTCGCAACAGTGGGACTGTGGGTTAGTGGGTCCATTATGAGGCCATAGCGTTGGTGGCTGTTTGATCAGCCGTTCGCTGTTGGTACCCTTGTTGGTACCCCTGTTGGTACCCCGGCAAGGGGTTGGGGACAGGTGTCCAGTACGAGCTATATAGCCACCTGTTTTGCACCTGTCAACGGCTCTTCATTCGATTTCGTCTCTGTCAGAGCCATATCATTTTTCTTTTATCAGTCATTGCGAAAGGATATTTCGACTATTTCAGCCATGCCGCCATGATCACTGCAGTCACATGGATATTTCAGCCCTATTTCAGCCCTATTGCAGCCATGCGGCCATGAGGCTACTCAGCCATTTCCAGCCATATGGAATTGTCCAGCATACCAGCTATTTGAGGCTATTGCAGTCACATAGAGATCATGCAGCTATTCAGCCATTGGAGCCATGCCAGCCATTGGAGCCATTCCAGCCATTTGCAGCCGTACGGCCATGCGACCATGCAACTACCATTTGGATACACACTTCAGCCATTCCACCTATAACTATTCACCTCAGCTATCGCAGCTACATTGATATTTCAGTTACTTCAGCTAGTAAAGCCATACGGCTATAAGGATAATCAGCTATTATAGCTATATGGTATGTAGCCATTTCAGCTAAGTCGGCTATCTCAGGCATCGCAGCTATTTGAGTATTTCAGTTATTTCAGCTATTTGAGCTATTGCAGCCATGTTGCTATTTCAGCTATTTCAGCTATTTCAGCTATTTGAGCTATTGCAGCCATGTGGCTATTTCAGCTATTTGGGCTATTGCAGCCATGTGGATGTTTTCAATCATTGCAGCTATTTCAGCTATTTCAGCTATTTCAGCTATTTCAGCTATTTCAGCTATTTCAGCTATTTCAGCTATTTCGGCTATTGCAGCCATGTGGCTATTTCAGCTATTTCAGCTATTTGAGCTATTGCAGCCATGTGGCTATTTCAGCTATGTCAGCTATTGCAGCCATGTGGATATTTCAGCTATTTCAGCTATTTGAGCTATTGCAGCCATGTGGCTATTTCAGCTATTTCAGCTATTGCAGCTATGTGTGCTATTGCAGCCATGTGGATATTTCAGCTATTTCAGCAATTTGAGCTATTGCAGCCATGTGGCTATTTCATCTATTTGAGCTATTTGAGCTATTGCAGCCATGTGGCTATTTCAGCTATTTCAGCTATTTGAGCTATTGCAGCCATGTGGCTATTTCAGCTATTTCCGCTATTTGAGCTATTGCAGCCATGTTGCTACTTCAGCTATTTCAGCTATTTCAGCTATTTGAGCTATTGCAGCCATGTGAATATTTCAGTCATTTCAGCTATTTGAGCTATTGCAGCCATGCGGATATTTCAGCTATTTGGGCTACTGCAGCCATGTGGATATTTCAGCTATTCCAGCTATTTGGGCTACCGCAGCCTTGGAGATGTCCCAGCTATTCCAGCTATTTGGGCTACCGCAGCCATGGAGAGGTCTCAACTATTCCAGCTATTTGGGCTACCGCAGCCATGTGGATATTTCAGCTATTCCAGCTATTTGGGCTACCGCAGCCTTGGAGATGTCCCAGCCATTTCAGCTATTCGGGCTATCGCAACCATGGAGATGTCCCAGTTATTTCAGCTACTTGGGCTACCGCAGCCATGGGGATATTTCAGCTATCCCAGCTATTTGGGCTACCGCAGCCATGGAGATGTCTCAGTTATTTCAGCTGTTTAGGCTATCGCAACCATAAGGGTATCTCAGCTATCGCAGCCATGGAGAACTCTCAACTATTCCACCTATTTGGGCTACCGCAGCTTTGGAGATGTCTCAGCTATTTCAGCTATTTGGGCTATCGCAGCCTTGGAGATGTCTCAGCTACTCCAGCTATTTGGGCTACCGCAGCCATGGAGAGGTCTCAGCTATTCCAGCTATTTGGGCTACCGCAGCCATGGAGAGGTCTCAACTATTCCAGCTATTTGGGCTACCGCAGCCATGCGGATATTTTAGCTATTCCAGCCATTTGGGCTATCGCAACCATAGAGATGTCCCAGTTATTTCAGCTACTTAGGCTACCGCAGCCATGAGGATATTTCAGCTATCCCAGCTATTTTGGCTACCGCAGCCTTGGAGATGTCCCAGCCATTTCAGCTATTCGGGTTATCGCAACCATGGAGATGTCCCAGTTATTTCAGCTACTTGGGCTACCGCAGCCATGGGGATATTTCAGCTATCCCAGCTATTTGGGCTACCGCAGCCATGAAGATGTCTCAGCTATTCCAGCTATTTGGGCTACCGCAGCCTTGGAGATGTCTCAGTGATTTCAGCTATTTGGGCTACCGCAGCTTTGGAGATGTCTCAGCTATTTCAGCTATTTGGGCTACCGCAGCCTTGAAGATGTCTCAGCTACTCCAGCCGTTTGGGCTATCGCAGCCATGGAGAGGTCTCAACTATTCCAGCTATTTGGGCTACCGCAGCCATGGAGATGTTTCAGCTATTCCAGCCATTTGGGCTATCGCAGCCACAGGGATATCTCAGCTATCGCAGCCATGGAGATGTCTCAGTTATTTCAGCTGTTTAGGCTACCGCAGCCATGGGGATACTTCAGCTATCCCAGCTATTTAGGCTACCGCAGCCATGAAGATGTCTTAGCTATTCCAGCCATTTGGGCTATCGCAGCCCTGGGGATGTCTCGGTCACTCCAGCTATCGGGGCTACCGCAGACATGGAGATGTCTCAGTTATTTCAGCTATGTGAGCTATCGCAACCATGGGGAGGTTTCAACTATTCCAGCTATTTGGGCTACCGCAGCCATGGGGATATCCCAGTCCAACTATCACAGTCATATTCCAGGCTACCGCAGCCATTGGGATATCCTAGCTATTCCAGCCATTTGGGCTATTGCATCGGGCGATGACGCATGCGCGTCAAAGCCTTACATCAGGTGGGAAGCCCCACCTGATGTCAGTCATTGGTAGCCATTGGTACATCAGGTGGGAAGCCCCACCTGATGTCAGTCATTGGTAGCCATTGGTACATCAGGTGGGGCTTGTACCCCGGCAAGGGGTTGGGGACAGGTGTCCAGTACGAGCTATATAGCCACCTGTTTTGCACCTGTCAACGGCTCTTCATTCGATTTCGTCTCTTTCAGAGCCATATCATTGTTCTCCCACCCACCCACACCTATGTATAGCTTCATTTTCACTCCAGGGCATGTCGCTCAGACATGGGAGTTTTTCTAGCGCTGGGGGGCTTTTCTGGGCTATTGGATGCCCAGAAAAGTCTTAGCTGCCCCAGTCTGGATATGCCCAATCATATATCTACATATCTACTTGTGCATACGTGATTTCTGTATGGCCTCACTGTTTGCGAGCACTAATACTAGAATTACGTAAGTATTATAGCCGTTTATATAAGTACTATAGCCGTCTATATAAGTACTATAATAGCTTATATAAGTACTATAGTCTACGCCTAAAAGAGAAAGAGAAAGATCGCGTAAGACTTTACTAACTAGGTAGTAATCTATATTAAACTATTCTTCGAATTAATAAAGAAAACTTCTAAAGTCTAAACGTTTGTTTCATGCATTTGCTATACTAATAAGCGTTTATTTCTTACTATTATCTCAACGAGAACGTTAACTTATTTTTTCTTCGTTAATATCTAATATAATATTATGAAAACCTTTTATAGAAGTCTCTGATAGAGCCGTTCCTACTAGGTCTAAGAGGCTTAAAGAGTCTAGATCAAATATGTATTAGCGTCTTCGAGCTTTCTCTAAAGTAGATTTCTAGATAGTAAGAATATATCTTCTTTTTACATTATAACTTAGTTTATAACATATCGTCTATATATTATTACTTATCTAATCTATATATTTAGAGTATTACTACGATATTAGTATCTTTTAACTCGTTCGCGCTAGTATTATTAATTTTTACTATTTACTACGATAGATATTATTAAAAATTCTTCTTTAAGACCTTCGCTCTCTTTAGATAATATTTTAGATTATTTAAAAGTTTTTCTAGCGCTAGAGAGTCTTTTTCGAGACTATCTACTTAATTTAGATATTTAAAAAGATCTTAGTTACTCTAGTATTAAATATATCTAATTATATATCTATATATCTATTTATATATACGTTATTTTTATATAATCTTACTATTTACGAGTATTAATTATAATAGTAGAATTATAGATTAATAGATTTATTATAAGATTATAGCGTTAATAACTATTTAATTAGTTATTTTATTATTATACGATTATATAATATACGATAGTAGAGAGATAGATAAATATAGCGAGTACTATTTATATAGCTACTATATTAGAAGTAAGCTCTTTATTTAAATTATTCTCTTTAGAGTTATATTATTATTCTCTCTTTCATTTATATTTATATATAGCTTTATTTTATTTTAGAGTATATCGCTTAGATATAAGAGTTTTTCTAGCGCTAGAGAGTCTTTTTCGAGGTTATCTACTTAGTTTAGATATTTAAAAAGGTCTTAGCTACTCTAGTATTAAATATATCTAATTATATATCTATATATCTACTTATACATGCGTTGTTTCTATATGACCTTACTATTTGCGAGCACTAACCCCGCATCCTATTCAAAATCAACTTCTAAGACTACTTATATTCGCCTCTATTTCGCCCATCCGTATATTATGAATATCATCGAGTATACTACGACGGTTGCAGACAAGAAGAGGCGTATTTTCGCCACCTTCCCAGCTGTCTATAAGCGTATCCCTATCAGTAGCGAGGTTTTTCCTATTAAGGATACTACAATCCTATAGACTACGTCTTAAGAACTTATTAGCAACTCAGCTAAAAAAGCCTAATCTCGAGGATGTCTACGCTTAACAGCTAGATACCCCTATTTAAATCTAAATACCAACCCGTAGGGCCCCCGTAGAGGCTGCTGCTAACAAGACTAGTCTTATACGTAAGAATTTACTATAGTAACTAATTATAGCGTTAGAACTTATAGTCTTTCTAGAATTATAATAAAAGTTATCGCTGGAAATCTATACTATAAGGTCTCCCTCACTCGTTAAGGTGTAACGTCCTATTTGGATATTTATACCGTGGAATGAAAGAAATATCGACAATGCACCCACCAGTCAGATATCCACTATGCCAAGGCCTATGCCAAGCCGGGTGGCTGCGGGTATAGCCGGTAGCCACATTAGTGTGGACGGGGGACTGTCGGAGGGGGACTGTCCGAAGATAAGTTGCCCACTCTGCGGGTATGCCGTCGTTGACTGATAAGCCATAGGGAAAAGAGAGGTCATGGATCCTTCTCCAGCTGCCGTCATGCTTCGGAACTAAACCCAATGGCGAGCACACGAAGCGAGGCCCCCGACCGATGTCTACCTTATCCAACCGGCCCTGCTGTAGCTGATTTTGAAAGACCGCCGTCAGAATATCCGGTGCGGCGAGGGCTGAAAGATGATTCGAATTGTGGTGGGCACACGGGGATTTCAAAAAAGCCCGCACACGCCAAGACATCCCCTTATTTTAGCGATTTCGAAATGGATAAGATTGCTTGGCAAAAAAAATCGCGCCCCCCCTCCGGCTTTGCCACCAAAAATCCAAAAAATCCAAAAAAAAATCATGTTTTTCTTATCTAAATTTATGAATATTAATTATTAAGAAGTCTTTTCTATATAAAATCTAGTTTATTTAACAAGTTCTATTAGTTTTTTTTTGTCAAGTTTTTTTAAATTGAATTTTTATTTTTATTAAGTAAAGTGACGAAGTGAACGTACTCTTCTATACAAAATCAAGGTTATCAAAAAGATTCTCTTAAAATTAATCTGAAAAAAAAAGTAATAGAATTAATAAATCAGTATAACTTTAATATAAATAAGATTAATGAATAATAAAAATTCATGAATCTAGATAAGAAAAACATGGTTTCTTCTGAATTTTTATATATTTTTGATAGCAAAGTCGGAGGCTGGGCGCGATTTTTTTTGCCAAGCAATCTTATCCATTTCGAAATCGCTAATTTTACTCTTTGAAATAACTCCATCAATATTATCTTTACAAAATATATTTTATAATGAGAATTATTGTTTCCGATATAATCTTTAACATATATAGCGAAAGCCTTTTGTTATGACCACTCGTTGACAAGTTATAATAGATTTGTAGATTTTGAGATATGTAGGCTTTTTTGAAACCCCCGTAATAGGCTATGTGAGGGTCTCGATATTCGATTTTGGCCGAAGTATAGCCAGTAGCGCCTTGGCATGAGAGAAGTCCGAGCTGTAATCTCTCGAGTAGCTCGTTAAGAGTCTTAGCGAGCTAGTTACGTATATATAGTAACTATAGTAATAGTTAGTATTCTTATTCTCACGCATTACACATATATAGGGCGTATAGGTATGAAGGTATCAAGTGGTTGGGCCGTCTCGACGCCGGGATAACACCTGAATAGAGGCCTGAACAGACGTATTCGTACCCCAGCGCCGAGAAAACTCCCATGCCTATGATATAGACCTGGAGTGAAATGATAGCTAGCTATGTACAGGCGTGGGTGGATGGGACAAAAAGTATGCAATGGCTCTGAAAGAGACGAAATCGAATGAAGAGCCATTGATAGGTGCAAAACAGGTGGCTATATAGCTCGTACTGGACACCTGTCCTCAACCCCTTACCGGGGTATTAATAGGGGTACCAATAGGGGTACCAACAGAGGTACCAACAGGGGTACCAACAGAGCCATAATGTCATGTGACCTACTTAACCCTAGTCCCACTGTGGCGAATAGCCGGGCTGATGTCCAGTAGTAGAAAATTAGTTTATTCTACTGAAATCACATCTGATAGCAATACGGTTCGAAGCCTTATTGGACGGCTGCGTGATGTCTAAATTCGACCTTGATAAGTAAAAGAGGTAAATTATAAATTCATATTCTAAAACCATACTTCTAATTATATTTTCATATCTCAATAGGGTATGAATCGGTAATTTGTCATTGCTTGGGGTATGAAAATGTAGTTTATCATAGTGGGCTGAGGTTAGGTCTTCGGGGGCTGCGAAATTAGCCCGGACCGGCCTCGGGAGCTTCGAACTGAAGACCTCTAGAGTTCGCCGTGTAACTTGTCGAAACCTCGCTTCGAGGCTAAGGCGAGCTCTTAAATTCTCAACTCACCTCAATCCGCGATAAATTTAGGGTTCAATTTTCTAGGGGCTTCTTTAGGGGCGTTGAACGCCGGGTACTCAAAGACGTATTTTAAAAAATTACAAATTCATACCCCAAAGAATAGTAAATTACATTTTCATACCTTAAGATTTAGTAAAGGGGTATGAAAATGTAATTATGGGTATGAATTTGTAAGAATTTAAGGTTTTAGGGTATAAATTTATAATTTACCCTAAGCAAAAGGTGGACATCATTCGATATCGATTCTGGACGCGGCCCAGTCAGCGTGGCGATCTTATCGAGATATGGCCCCCACGCATCCCAGCCACCGTGCTTCTTCTGGCCTCGGAGAGGTTTTGAAGAATCAATCCATCTATTCTACACATTACATACCTGGTATTTTAACAGATCTTACCGTCATCTGACGTAACATAGCGACCCAGTGGGCGGAAATCCGCTTCTTCACATCGTCCTCCCACTCCGCAGTCCCAGTCTCAAGCTCGTAGAATTTCGCCTTAATTTCATCGAGGACCTCACGAATGTCCAGCATATGTTTGCTGGGACCGTCGGGTTCGTCATAGATATCCTTGATGACGTACTCTTTGGTGGTCCTCTCGTAGGTCTCAAGGCCACCTTCTTCAAACATGTAGGCCCACCTCTTCCAATCAGCATCTGCGAATGCGTTATTCATGGGATTAAACTGCCAGAGATGAGAGTACGGTAGCCGATATTGCCGGTAAAAAACGCAGGTACACGAGAGTTCGTCGTTTAGGTTACGTGGAATTTCATCTAACTTGATTAACAATAGGATAATTGAACAACGAAGTACGCACCTTCGTCTTAGGCCTCCATCGCCTTTTTCCAACTTATCTTCGAACAGTCCCCCTTCAACAGTTCCCCCGTCCACACTAATGCAGCGTTTCGCGCACGATCTACACATTAAGCTTTTAACCTCCGAGTTAGATAAAAGACCACCTCAGCTCTATCTATGAATTGCTTATTAGTATATTAGTATATAGAATAGAATAAGATAGGGCTGAGCTAAAAAACCTTGAATTTGTATGTGCAGCTACTGGCCGGAAAGGTATGGGATTTTTTAAACTTAGAATTTTTTAACTTTTATCTCTTTTCTTTGAAAATTTATATCTTTATATTCTATTTATAGAATCTTAAAATTTAAAAGCCCTATAACGAGGCTAGTCTATTTTATACGAGATGATTTTAAAATACGATAATTTATATATAAAATATCGAGTGGAATTGAAAATATTCTATGAAAATTGTCTAAATTACGCTTTTTAATTAGATACCACGAGTAAATAAATTAGCGTTCATAACTATTAAAATCTTTCTTTCTACTTTTAATCTTTTAATAACTTTACTATCTTCTATTAAAATTTAATAATTATTTTTTTAAATTATAGAGCGCAATTTGCACTTATTAAATATAAAAAAATCTTAAAATTTGGTCTTATAATTCTTCAAAGGTAAGGAATTCAAATATCGCTTATCAAAGATCGCTCACCAAAGACCGCTCACCAAAGACCGCTCATCAAATTTACTCGACAGCCCTGATTAAAAAAAACGGTTATGAATTTAATTCATAGGCCTTTACTCGTCAGTATATATAACAGAATAAGGTAGGGCTGAACTAGAAAACCTTGAATTTGTATGTGCAGCCAATCATCAATTCGGGGTTATTACGCCTTTTAGCTAGACTGACTAAGTCAGCCCGCTAGCCCTCCCGAGCTGCCTCATCAAAAATTTGTGTGTAGAAGTTTTACACTCTAAAATAACCAGCTCCCTACGGATACTATTTCTTCATAATTTCGTAAATTATAGAGCTCAGTGTGCGCTTTCTAACGCTGTAAAAATAATGAAGTTTGGCCTACTATTAGTGGATTAAATTGACATTCAAATATCGTAGTCACACCAAACGCGTCCGGGATCGGTTAATAATCTGTGTAGCCATATTTCTTCTACGATTCTACCAATCCACCAATTATGAATACATTCGCCCTCGATACCCCTCGCCCAAATGTTGCTGAGTATCTAAGGCACGTATCCCTTCCGCCCGTCTTTTGAACCCCTTACTGACGCCCTCAGGCCACCCCTCGGAACGGATTCACAAGCAGTCAACACTACCTACCCTATCAGCTCAGCAATCCACTCAGTCAGATCGTCAGCCAGTCACTCAGTCATCCACTCAGTCAGCCACTCAGCTAGCCACTCAGTCTGATACTCTATAAGAGGAGGAGCAAGAGGAGGAACTACAACAGGCAAATGCGGAGAACACTGCGGAGAACACTACGGAGAACACTGCGGAGAAACCAAGCGGCAACAAGGCCACCATCGTCAAGAACACGGCTCAGCTCTCCAAGATCCCACGTCATATGCTCTCCACGGTTCCACATCAAATCATCACTCAGCAAGCGGAGAACACCACTGCAACTTGGCCTGTCATCCCCACTGCATTGATATGGTACATCACTGCAATAACGTCACAAGAGGAGGATCTACTGCGACGATCACAGCCAATTAGGCCTCTACAGAAATTCCCGTGGCCATGAGACCCGCTGACGGTCTTACCTTTGGGTAGGCGACACCACTAATAGGATGACTGAGTGTCTTTTCCAGTGAGGGCGTTATTGGGCTTATTGCTACCTAGAAATTGTCTATCAACGGCCATTACTGCTCAAACTCCTCGGGTGTCCAACAGATAGGCGTGTTGAAAAAGAAAGGCAACTTCATCATTGTCGATAGCTTCGAGGCTACTCGCCACAGTGGGACTGGGGGGTTAGTGAGTTTTATGATATAGCCCAGTTTCAGGTACCCTGTTAGGGGTAGGAGACACCTGTTCGCTACGAGCTGCATATCCACCTATTTTGCACCTGGCAATGGCTTTTCATTCGATTTCGTCTCTTTCAGAGCCATTGCATACTTTAATCTGTCATTGCGAAGGCCATTTCGGCTATTCTAGCCATACGGCTATTCAGCTATTCAGCTATTCAGCTGGGCAAATTACCGAATCATACCCCGAAAGTACGAAACCTTACCGAATCATACCCCTAATTACCGAATCATACCCCTCCACCAAAATCCACCCAAATATGGGGTATGATTCGGTAATTTGCCATTGCTTGGGGTATGATTTGATGAGGGTCTTAAATAATAGCTTCCTGATATGAGAGAGTTTAATGAAGATAATGGTAGCGGTAAGCTTACTGAGCTCACATTTAGTAGTAGTCGTCGACTTGATTATTGATAACGGTGGTATTTACGCTGCGTAACGGGGCGGGTTCGGGGCGGAGTTCGGGGCGGGGGTTCGGGGCGGGGTTTGACCCCCGAAGCTTACCCCGCCCCGTTGCGCAGCGTAGTAGGAATTATTCCTTCGGGGGCCTTACGGGGCCCGACGGGACCCGAATAGGGGTGTCTACAGCGTGAAGTGCGGACACCCCCGGGCTCGAAATTTCGCCCACTCGGCTTTCGTCTGATGTTTTTAGGCTAATAGAATTCTCATCAAATGCGATCGGAGAAACTCCCTTATTTCTATGATCGAATAAGTCAGATCGCGGATTATCTCCTTCGTAGTTTGAGGCCACTTTGACAACTTACCGAATCATACCCCATATTTAGGTGAAATTTGATGTAGGGGTATGATTCAGTAATCAGTATATATAAAAGAATAAGGTAGGGCTGAGCTTGAAAACCTTGAATTTGTATGTGCAGCCAATCATCAATTCGGGTTCGCTACGCTTTTTGGCTAGACCGGCTGACTCATCGCGGGTAAATAAATTAGCGTCCGCAACCATCAAAATCTCGCCCTCCCACGCCTCCCTCATCAAAAAAATAGGTATACATTATTGACACATAGAATTACTTTTTTGTTTTCTATTAAAATTTTAAGATTTTTTCTTTAAATTTTGAAGCGCTGTTTGTGCTTTCCGAATTTTTAAGAATTTTAAAATTTAGTCTTATAATTATTAAAGCGCAAGGAATTCAAATATCGCTCACCAAAGTTCGCTCACTAAAGATCGCTCACCTACTTACTCGATAGCCCTAATCAAAAAAATGATTATGAATTTAATTCATAGGCCTTTACTCGTTAGGGGTATGATTCCGTAAGGATCCATACTTTTGGGGTATGAATCGGTAATTTGCCCCTCGCTTAGCCGATCCTTAATATCTTGCCTTAGTATTTCAAAATGCCTCCCAATCGACGCAGTCAGAGGTCCCCCCCCCCCACTACCGACCTCCCCTCCGACCAGACAGTCCAAGAGGCCTAAGAAGGCGTTCTCCCGTACCCAAGCGATTGCTAAGAATAGCCAGCCGGGCCCTAGCAACAGTCAGCCAAGCGCAGCTACCCCCGCTCCCAGACCTAAAAGCCCTCGTACCAAAGCCGGTCGACAAGTTATGAGGCGAACATGAGGGAGTTAAATAGAGCTCTTAATGAGTGCGATATTCAGATAGATTTTGAAGACTAAACTACATTTACTACTACTACTACTACCCCAGAGTTATTAAGGCCTTCGCCTATCGCCATTAAGACTTAAATACCTTCAAGTCTGCCTTAAAGCCTCTGACTAAAGCATCAGGAACCCCCAATTATATAGCAACACGATATATAGTAGAGGAAGGTGGTAGAATGCGATATAGGAGAAGATTCATCTATTCAGTACTACTTTTGATAGTGTGTGTGTGATTTTCTCAGTGCCAAGTATTCCAACGTTTTCTGCACACGCTAATACTGCCAAGAACCTTCTCGCCACAGCTTGACTGGGGGCTAGTGAGGGAGAGGCACAGCACACTTATGGCAGGATAGCCGAGATTGCCATATTAAAAGAGCCTTAAATAGGCGGTGTTCCCCCCCGTTTTTTGCTCTTCATTCTTGTTCCTCTCGTCGCAAGAAGAGGTTTTTACACTTTTCCCACCCACCCGCGCCTTGTTTTTTAGCGTTTTCTTGTACTTAGACTCCAGGTCTTCTACCTTACGTAGAGGGAGTTTTCCTAGGGCTGAGCTGCATAGTGGACCGCTGTCTGCGTGCGGCTGGGCCTTAGGACCCAGCCAATCATCATTTAGAACTCATTTGTGCGTGTAGTTTTCATGGGACGTTACGCGAGACAGCACTAGGCCGCGAAAATGCTAAGGTACTGGAATCACCAGAAATCGAAGCCGAGTTGAACCTGGAAAATAGCGACAACATTCCCACGTACAATGAATTGGCAGAACGAACTGATCGTATCGGTGTACAAAGACCGCTAGTAGGGGAGGATATTAACAATAGTCTTCAGCGAGACACTATCATACGAGGCCGAAAGAAGGCCGTGCAAGCTCGCCAGGTGGTGAAAAAGACTGCGCGACGACTTACCCCGGCAGCCAGCAATCCCGCAGCTAACAAGGTACCAACTTTGGCGATACCTATTCAGGTACCTAGACCACCGCCTTGGAGAGGACCAATACCGAGGACCAATACCAACCATCTCGTCGCGGGATTGAGCAAAACTGCAACCCCCCTTGCCGGCAACTCTACAAACACCTTCGAAGGGATTCGTAGAGAGCAAGGGAGATGGTATGACAGACTCGGGAGATGACCGAGAGAGCTTGATAGATGTTGGGGATGGGTTTGAGATGGATTAGGGAGCTTAGGAGAGTGAGTCGAGATGATCGTGAGACCGCCAGAGTACTGGTGGGGATGTTGTGAGACCTGCTGGGGATGAGTGGAAAGCTTCGAGAGAGAGTTCGCGCGATAGGAAAAGGGATACCTGCAGAGAAGCTATCTGTTTCGAAGTCGAGAAAGACTCGTAAGAGGAAAGGTAAAGCTCGGGGGGGAAAGGTAGCGGCAGAGAACCTATCTGTTACGGATCAGTCTGTTAGTGTGCGAGAGCGTGCGGGTACGAAAGATCATAAATTGCGAGAGGGTCCGCAAGAGAGCACTAGAAAGAAGTTGGGAGAAGGAAAGTCCTTGATAGCATGATGCTATCTAGTTCTAGTTACATGATCGCACCTAAGGAAAGTGTCTTGTGGAGCTGTTGTTAAAGCTCGCCATGAGAAGAAAAATAAAACCACTTGCTATCCACTACTGCTCGCCACGAACCCGAAAATCGAACCAAGACCTCAGCTCACTCCGACTCCTCCTTAACCTCGTCTTCGTCGCCCTGGTCTGCACTGCCGGAAGAGGTGTTGCGAGCGCTGCTACGGCTCGAGTGACGACCGCGGCCACGAGCAGCCAAAGCAGACACAGGCTCGTTGCGGGCAAGCCGACGAGCTCTGTTGCAAAGGCGCGCAGTAAGAAGCGCAGCTCTCTCAGCCACTTCCAGGATATCCAGGGAATTGTCGTAGTCGCGGCCTACAGGCAGCGCGAAGCCCTCCATCATGTGTTGTTGCGGAACCGCAGGAGCGCGTGAAGGCTCGTCTATCTCATGTTAGATAAATCTCGCCGCGAGCTATGTCGAACAAACAATGATGACTTACGGAAAGTGCATCGACTACCTTGACCACCCCAATAACAACAGGTACATGCGCTATTCAGGTCGCTCGTATCAATCAACACGCAATCTAGGAAGGGGCCGCCGCCTCTCTGACAGCTCTCGCAAGGGGTCGCGGCAAGGTAACCACGAATGTGTGCGGTCATGGCTTCAGAATAGCTATGGTGATTGCCGCCGGTGATTCCGCGAGAGGCCCGCCACCGAATGAGGGTTTGCGTGACTGGTAGTGAGTAGATGGACCGAAGCTTTTTGGTGTCCGCCTGAAGCAGGGCCACCTCGGAAGCGGTCGGTTGCATTGGTGCTACGGTAACATCGGGTTAGCAAAGGCTTCGCAGCAGAGTTGCAGACTTACCGCGAGCTGGTTTGGCCAAGGCCGCACGCGGAGTCGTGAAATCTTCAGGTTCAGAGTCCACTCCGGTCCACTTCTGAGGAAGTGGTGGCTTCGTGCGAGCTTTGCTCGAAGTCGTAGTAGCAGCATCCGAGGACTGACGTAGGTCTCGTGACTGCTTACGACGAAGCTTCTTCGACTGACGGCGGCGTTCTTTCTGGGCTGGAGTCATCTTGGCCGAGTCCTTCTCATAAGGCTGGAACGGGTCGAAGCTGCCAGGTTCTCTAGGGTCTTTACCGCCGCCGCCGATGGTAGCTTGACCCAGCTGATCTCGCAGAGTAGCGGAGGTGGAGGAGGTTGCCATGATGAGAAAAAAGGGTCGTGAGGAGCTGTTACGAGCCTTGGTGAGAGATTTGAAGGTTCGCAAGCAAGAACAAAGTGAGTTGGGGGAGGTACAGTGGGATTTGGAGTGAGAAGTTGCTGGAAGCACTGATGATGATGATTTGGTGATGTCGCTGTCGTACGAAGATGTGATGCAGAGTTTGGAGCTCGTAAAGATCTTGTCGTTAGAGGAGCGAGGGTGAAGAAGATTGAAGGAGAAAGAAGAGGAGCGAGAGGGCGGTGAAATACCCGCCGCTGCCTGACTACACTAGTCCTTTTACGATCTCACCACCTTGCTGTAAGAATCATTCACTTCACGCCATACTCACTTTACGTATCTACTCACGGTTCTCTATCGGTGGGGACGGCCTGCTACGCCTTCTCCGCTTTGGACCTACTAGGCTTCGATTAGCTGCGGGCGAGTTCGCTACGAACCAGAAGAAGGGGTATCTAGGAGGACACTTGGATTTCAATCTTGCTACGAGAATTGACGGTGTCGTGGTGTCTTCGCTGGTACGAAAAAGTCTAGTAGGGGAGGATGTAATCTCAGGGATTACTCGTGACGAGTGGCAGACATGACGTTGCAACAGCTCCGATCAGTGAGGTTGGTAATTAAGCATTCGGTGCATTCGACTTCCATTGAACGTTAAAGCAAGATATGCTTACCATTTGGCTGTCAGTTTCGATCGTGTAACACTTCGTCGAATACTGCACGGGAAAGTTGGTCGCGCACTGACGTCTATCGTAAATCTGCAGATCAGTCTCTCAGATTTCCAGGCAAGAAGGAGAGAATGGGCCATCCGAATCCCTGAGCGGCTCCATTGACAGCGGCATCGCAATATCTCAATACTGCAGAGCGCGTTCAAAGGACCTCCAACCTTTACAAGAAGCAGCAACAACCACATGTATAGTCATAAGCTCCCGGGATGGAATTTGGATGGTCCTAGTCCTCATATCCACATTGCGAACCTCGTTGAAGACCGGAAAACTCCACCGAAGTCCTGGACCCTTCTCTCCAAAATACTTTCCCGAACGGAAGACTACTCCTCTTTTGTAGTATTCGATCACCGTGAAGGAGCTTCTTTTTGGAGGTGAGGCACCAGGCTTAGCACGAGCTGTTGAGGCGTAGCGTAGGTAGGACAGCATCAAAATGTAGAAGGAACTGTTCAATGAACAGATTAGAAGGGCGTCAACGTTGGTGATTTGCCGGGAAAACGGAAAACTGCCCGTGATGCCGCCATGATGCAAGAGTAATCAATAGCCTTAAGGTGGGTTGATAGGCAAAGGATCAGCTAATAACATTGGAAGAATATTGTCAAAAATTGGTACTTAAAAGGGCACTAGAAAGAAAACCTGGTTACACGCAGTAGTAATAGTGATGTTGAACCTTCTGGGTCATGAGATGTTGCTGTGGTTACCTCAAGACTTGCTCACAGAAATCCGATCTGACCCGGAAATACTCATTATCGTGGCCCACGAAATTTCGAAAATGCATAAATTTGCAGGCTTGAACCCTTACTTCCACATCTTTATAACACTGCAAGCGTTCCATATCGAAAGATTGAACGAAATGTTGGTAGTACCATCCCTTGGTCGAGTTGTCTTGAAAATCCCGCCAACCGTAGCATTGCGCTGCCCAAGGTCCTTAAGCTCATGGCCACATGCTCCGACCAGAGCTGTACAAGATCGAAGCAATACAGCAAAACCTTCCTCTGGCGCAGCGGCAGTGTATCCAACCGTGCTCTCTGTCGAGTCAGAACACGAGTCCGAAATACCGAGTGCGACCGTCTTGTCCAAGCTTAACCTCTTCGGCTTATGGCGCGACGAGCCCGAAACTAAGGGAACCGACTACCAATTGAGCAGACACCTAACCCGACGAGCCCAAGAAGGCCGGCGACGGCAGGGACTCCGAGTGCCGCCTAAGGAAAATAATGGCGGCACAGCCACTCAAGTTCCTGTGGGCGAAGGCGGCTTGGGAGTTTGGTTATCTCAGGAGTATGCTGAGCAGGAGGAGAATGGCACCGAGAAAGAAGGTAGAGTGGTAGAAGAAGGAGGTTCACGGAGTGATGGGCAGATAGCAGATAGCTATGGCGGGGACAGGGGTGATAATGGCGGTGGATATTATGGCGGAAGCGGTAGAGGCGGCGGTGGTGATGGTAATAGGCACAATGAGGATCAAATTTGTACTTGAGGACGGGGACTGGCAAAATCATAGACTGGGTCCAGTTCCCGTAGACTTCAAGATAGACTGATCTCCATTTTCGCTCTACACCTTCATAGCACCTACGACCTACGATCAACATGTCAGCACTGGAACCTGTCGTAGCAAAGCTGGCAGGCGACCCTGCCTATGACGAGAACCAACGAACCATCTCCGAAGCCATTGGTGCTGACCACGGAGCCATCGACATGTACTCCGACAACATCAAGACTGCGAGCACCTTGCCAGAGTCAAAAGGGGAAGGAGATGGCCGACGTGGACCGCGAGCAGCATATGGCGGTGCGTGTATTGGTCAGGGCTGGCAACGGTGGAAATGGTTGGTTTTGGAGGGCAAATTGCACCAACTGTTAGAATTTTGGAAATCGAAGTTGCACCAACTACCATATATTGAAAACCAATTAGCTGTCAAGGGAAAGGATGACTGGGTCATGAATTCATGTGTGGTGTAAAAGATGTTCATTATTCTATGTGCCTGCGGGGCAGATATGTGCGGTGCCAAGCCACGCTAGGCCCAATTGGGTGGTAGCTCTGGAGGAGGCCTTGGCGTACCGTGACAAATTAGCGTATTCAAAAACATCTGGAGTGCTTGGCACCGGAGATCTTTCACACCACACACCCAAATTCGTACTGTAGCATAGAAATCTCTCCGCAAAATCATTCAAATCAAGTAGTCACATCGCAAATAGTCGCCTTTGGTCAATTTTGAAGCTATAAACCTCAGCCATGCCTCCTAAACGCATCAATAACGCAGCAGCCATCGAACCGCCGCCGTCGCCGCCCCTCACTCGCCGTCGCAGCAAGAACTAGAGTACATCCCCATAACTACTGAAATAGCCTCTGCTTAAGAAGCTTAAAAATAGATAAATGGGGGGCTAAGGAACATGCCAAGACTTCAGTATAGGCTCACTCTTTTTCATTTAGGACCTATACTAACGATAGCAGTGTTATTGAATAATTTTGCGGAGAGATTTCTATGCTACAGTCCGATTTTGGGTGTGTGGTGTGAAAGATCTCCGGTGCCAAGCATTCCAGATGTTTTTGAATACGCTAATTAGCGATTTCGAAATGAAAAAAATCGCGCCCCCCTCCGGCTTTGCCACCAAAAATCCAAAAAATCCAAAAAAAAATCATGTTTTTCTTATCTAAATTTATGAATATTAATTATTAAGAAGTCTTTTCTATATAAAATCTAGTTTATTTAACAAGTTCTATTAATTTTTTTTATCAAGTTTTTTTAAATTGAATTTTTATTTTTATTAAGTAAAGTGACGAAGTAAACGTACTCTTCTATACAATATCAAGGTTATTAAAAAGATTCTCTTAAAATTAATCTGAAAAAAAAGGTAATAGAATTAATAAATTAGTATAACTTTAATATAAACAAGATTAATGAATAATAAAAATTCATGAATCTAGATAAGAAAAACATGGTTTCTCCTGAATTTTTATGTATTTTTGGTAGCAAAGGGGCTAATTACTAATTCATACCCCGAAACTATGAATCCTTACCGAATCATACCCCTAATTACTGAATCATACCCCTAGGGGTATGATTCAGTAATTTGCCATTACTTGGGGTATGATTCGGTAATTTGCCATTTATGATAAAAATCGCAAAGGAGAAAATTCGCGACCTGGGCCATCCGACCATAGAAAAGAGGAAATATCTCCGATCGTGACCTACCAGCTTAAATACATCAGACGAAAGCCGAGTGGGTGTTAGCAGCAGCCCTCACGGGGGCCCTACGGGGGCCCTATTTAGATTCAAATAGGGGTATCTAGCTGTCAAGCGCAGACACCCCCGGGACCAGGCTTTTTTGCGCTTGACAGCCAGACACCCCTATTTGAACCTAAGTAGACAGTAGGCTAAATTTGGCCCCCCAGCCTGTCTACACCCAGTCTGTGACTCTCACACACAGTCTTCACTCCCAATAGTCTACACAGCAAGTTTGGTAAATTACCGAATCATACCCCAAGCAATTAATCCTTACCGAATCATACCCCAAATTTTGGTGTAGGGGTATGATTCAGTAATTAGGGGTATGATTCGGTAAGGATTCATAGTTTCGGGGTATGATTCGGTAATTAGCCCGATAGCAAAGTCGGAGGCTGAGCGCGATTTTTTTGCTAAGTAATCTTATCTATTTCGAAATCGCTAAAAATCCCCATTTCAGCCCTACTTCAGCCCTATAAAATGTCAGCCTATTACCGACTTTTTAAAAAATTATTATAAACTACTTCACTATCAGTTCAGTTGAACCAGTTGGTTTTAAGGTTAGAACTACATCAACTACCAACTGGTAGACCTTAAACCGCACCATCAACTACGAGAAACTAACGGTTCCACGGGTAGTGGACCAGTTACTTGGTCCACCATTGCCAGCCCTGGTATCGGTTCAGAGGGATGAGGCTATATCTAACCGCCACTAGATGAAGAAAAACCTCTACAAACTCCAAGACATGAGCCCCGACAACAAAGACTTCTTCCCACTTCTCGACATCCTCATGACGGACCTGCACAAGCACATTGAGCATGAAAGCAATGAGGATATGCCCAGGCTCGAAGAAATCTTGACAAGGGAGGAGAGCAAAAGTCTTGCCAACTACTTCGAGAAGACGAAGCTTATACTTCCTACACGATCTCACCCATCGGCGCCAAACAAGCCATACTTCGAGAACTTCGCGGCGATGCTGGCGGCTCCGATTGATAAATTCATGGATCTCTTGAGGGCGTTTCCGGAGGAAGGAAAGTGTCGGTAACTCAACACTCGCTTACGCTAGTACTCATTCGGCCTAGTCATTGGTATATGAAGGCGTTTCCTGTATATAGATATCCTTCTTCCTTAGACATCATTAAGAATACTATATCTAGTGATAAGTCTCATTATACAAGTAACTGCAATACCAAGTACTTACCAACAGGAAGCTTGGAGATGTGTCGGCAAGTGAGCCGCCGGCAGTGGTTCAGAAGAGTTAGATCGGGATGGCTTAGGATTTCACGAACCTGGCATGATGGCTGCCCGTGTAGGGTAGAATCTATCGACTACTTTGCTAAACTGACCTGATGCCTCTCTCTGAATAATTGCTTCTTACTGCATGCGGCTCCGAAAAGCCAACGGGTTCGGGGCTGAAACCCTTCTCAGCTTCTGCTTTTCCTGCCGTATCTACTATCACCATCTTATACGCAGTGGTAATATTTCAAAGTCTACGCTGCTCCGCCACTATATGTTGAATGCTTGGCTTCTATATTCTTCCAAATCTAATTACCAGAGAGGATTATCTTCTGTAGTTGATTGCGTACTCTACACATGCCGTTCGCTTCAAGGCTAAAACCATACTTTCCGGAATCACCAGTGGTCTCTGGGATATCTCTTACCCTGCATCGCAGTCTTTGCTGCTCGCGGCGGGGAAGACGCCTCTGCTCGCGCAGTGGTTCCAGCAGACGGGGCCTTAGGCTTCCTCGCCTTCGCTTTCTTTCGAGGGGCCAAGTCCTCACACTTTCCAGGGTATTCGCCCATGCATGTCTCAAAAACAGTCCGAAGGCTTCGAGCCTGCTCGGTACGTATGTGGTGGTAAGCATCCCCAAGTGGATACGTTTGCTCCATTCGATCAAAATCTGCTCTGAGGACCTCAATGGAAGGACAAAGACCATCCTGAAGTTTTTCCCTCATTGTACGGAGAGCTTTCAGTTCCGAGGTGGGACTGAGACAGTTTCGAAAGCATTCGCCGTACCTGTGCCTCATTAAGCTGTTGATCGACTTTAAGAGAAATTCCTTCTGGGCGACCGTGAATGTTGAGGCTTGTGGATCTGTGTCTTCGTCCTCGAGGTCAATGTAGTCTTTCTTAATCTTCCGGTCATCTCTCCTACCAACGTAGCGACCAGCCTCCCACAAAGCAACCTGCCGGAACTTTTTCAGACCTTCCCAAGGCTGTGTCTCCGTCATGGTCTTCTCGCATTTTGGGCAAGCTACCCCGTCCATATCTTGTTCGGCTGCCCTGTGGTGCAAATGAGTTGAGCATTCCCTGCAAAACACATGAAGGCAATTGGCAACCACTGGCTCACTGGGTGCATCCCCGCACTGCTGACAGAGGTTATGCTCCCGCAACTCGGCCTATTTATGCTTTCGCTTCAACTCTTGAAGATGCCTGCCAAATCTAACAACGAGTTCCTCATTCACAGGACCCTGGGATTTTTAGCGGGCCGCTTCTATTGGGTCATCATAGATACTGTGTTGCGCATCCGACCTATCAGAGCTGAAGTTGCCGCTAAGAGTCAGCGTTGCTGCAGGTGGTACCGTCTAAGTCTTAGCAACTGCATAAACATGAGCCTGAGTAAGGTGACACACCAGTGGACATGCAACTCGTATCATCTGTACGGACAGAGGTACTGCGATGTTTCCTTGGCTGGATAGCTCGGGCAGCAGCAAGACTAGAGTCCGGTTGGGTCATCTCTGTCCGTAGGGCTGGTCCCAATGAAGAGGACGAAGAGCTACCGGCTCTTCCTCGAATGGGAGCTAAAGGCATCGATTGCGGCGTTATCGATGACCGCCAACAGTACACCAGTTTTCCATCACCGTCACGGATGTTTAGTTTTCCGCCCAAGAGCAGCATCATGGATGAGCGGACGTGAGTCCAAATTGTAACCAGCTCCCCCATCCGGACCACTGATCATTATTAACCTTATTAAGCTTATTAAGTTAACAGTGTCAAGTGTCGTTTGGTTCCGTCCGAGGTTGCATGATATACCTTCTACCAAAGTCACCATTTGTATGCTATTCGCCTATTGCGGTTGTAAACACCTATACATTTGACTCCATCCTCGTAACTTCACCTCGCCTTTGTTACTGCGCGCATTAATGTTGGAATCTGCTGCAGCACCATAGTGTGTTGTAGCTACCCCTCATGGTGGCAATCAGGTGGCAAATTAGCATAGGCTTCACATGGTATACTTGTATAAGTAGCCTACATACCACCCCATAGACAATCAATCCTTCATCCTCCATAAAGTCCAATAATTCAGGGTGGCCAGGACGATCCTAAGGCCTGGGAAGCGGACGATCCGAGCTGCAGAGACCTTCTCGTGCCCAAAAGGACTCATGCGGGCAATAGCAAGCCAAATTCCGGTGGGTCTGGCCCCAACAAGCCCGCTGCAGCCGAAGGAACTGGCATTTGCAAGAATTCCAATAGAGGTAGCTGTTTTCGCGAGCGTTGCATCTACTCACATATCTGTTGAATCTGTCAGCAAAATCACTCGTCAGATAAGTGCCCTAAGGCCCAAAACTCAGCTGTGAGTAGCTCCAATCAATTGCCACTGGGCAATCGTGTTTCCAAGTGCAGTGCATATCTGAGGGGTTCCCATACGCGCTGTACGATCCACTGGACCCGGGTCTGCTCTATCAAGGACCGTTGATAGTCAATGGTTGGTCCAAATGGTTGAAGGATCATCCGGACCTGAATTTTGCCAAGACGCTTTCGGCTATTCTTCGGAAGGGCGCCAAGATTTATGGATTGCAAATTAAATAAGAATGCTTGGCAAAGCTGATTCAGCTCCGCCTCCGACTTTTTGTTAGCGTCATTCATAGAAAATTGTAGAGAACGTAATTGCCACTCTTGCAATAGCCACTGTCGTCTGCTACCTCAGTTGAATATTCGTGATATCGAAGCTAGTGGGTATACACGCTTTTTCTGGTATTTTGCCTCTGACCTAGGCGTGTAATAGCCACATCGCCAGCCCTTAATCTACTCCGGACGCGATGCCACCATTTAGAAAGGATCCCTATATACGCCAGCGTGCCCAACTCTTACTCGAATCCCATTGGCGACCTGAAGCCGTAGCTGCGGATGCCTATTTCAGTGTATCGACGGCGTATCGATGGGAGCGGAACCTTGCTATCTATGGTGACACCGTGATTTCTCGTGACAGGTATATTTATACACAAGGGCGATGCCGCAGCCTCTCACCTGCTGCTTTAAACGCTCTTCTTGACTATCAGCGTTAAAAGCCGTGGCTGTATCAAGACGAATTGACGGTCTTTCAGAACGATTTTGAAGGATTTCTAAAGTATACAATCGATGTTAGTGGCTGTGATAGATTTACGATGGTTTCAAGCAGAGCACTGCAGGCTACATATTTAACGGCCAAGTTGATATATTTGAACGAGATTTGGAGCATTTAACTATGGAGATAATAGAGTAGTTACAATGAAATACTACGTAATATCAGTCAAAATCCTCCACCTTCTCTATGACCTTTACAAGAGTGGTAAGTACGTTCTCTACAATTTTCTATAATGACGCTAACAAAAAGTCGGAGGCGGAGCTAAATCAGCTTTGCCAAGCATTCTTATTTAATTTGCAATTCATAAATAGGTTTTCGAGGCCATATCCCAGCCTACCGCAACCACTATCACCTATCAGCACGTCAAGCACCCCAAATACTACCGGCGGACCTCCAAAAACAGCTACAACAGCATCGCCTGACCCGTTTGTCCCTCAAAACGAGCCCCAGTACGTCCGGTCGCCGCTCGGTTTGGTACCGAAACACGATGGAGGTTGGAGGCGAATTCACGACCTCTCATTCCCACACGGCCACTCAGTCAATGACGGTATCCAGGAGGATTGGGGCGCACTGGAATATGCTACATACGATGGCGCAGTAGGAGCACTGCTACAGAAAGGCCCAGGGGCCCAATTCGTCAAAAGAGACCTCAAAGACGCCTTCAGGCACATACCGGTCGCTACATCTGATCAATGGCTATTTGGTTTGAACTGCGATGGACGCTATTGGAAAGAACGATATCTACCATTCGGACTACGCATGTCACCGTTCCTATTCGATCTCTTCGCAAAGGCCCTCACTTGGATCTTGATCGCGATCTTTCTATGGGGAGTAGTGCTCCACTACTTGGACGATTCCTTCGCAATCCTCTCACCAGGCGATGACGCAACTGCATACACCCAGCAATTCAACCACCTATGTGGCGGATTGGGCCTTCAGATCAATCACACGAAGGATGTTTTGGGTTTCATAGCCGAGTTCCTAGGAATCGAATTTGATAGTATTCGCATGCAGGCGAGACTCCCCCCGGACAAGCTGGCCAGGGCGAGAACCACGCTGGAAGACCTCCTAAAAAGAACAACTATCTCACATCAGGAGCTCGAGTCAGCGGTCGGCTTCCTCTCTTTCGCTGCCAAAGTCGTAATTCCAGGAAGAGCATTCTTGAGGCGACTTTTTGATGCCCTTCGAAGGCCTGCGGTGATCGTGCGGATCACAGGCAATATGAGGGCAGACTTGCTATGGTGGGACACCTTCCTGAAGCACTGGGATGGCGTCGCCTTGATACGCCACGTCGACAGTCGGGTCACGTGGCACATATGGACTGATGCGTCTGGAAAATTCGGTATGGGAGGCTACGTTCTAGACCATCCCGACCACATCCAATCGGTTCTACCTAAGGACGTTTTCAGCATCAAAACAGCCACACGTCATCGTTCCAAAGACATACAATTCAAAGAAATGAAGGCCGTCCATCACGCGATGGAGCTGTGGCTAGATCAGTGAGGATCTCGCTTGGTTCTCTACTACGATAACGACGCATGCGTCAATGGACTACGTAAATCCTCCATGCATGGGCCAGCCATGGCCCAGTTGCGCGATATAGCTATGCTGGCAGCTACTCATGACATCATAGGGGTTCTTACTTGGATCTCTACGAAGGCTAACCAGCTGGCCGATGATCTTTCACGTTTTCGGTACCGAAAAATCGCTGACGCATATTTACAGCTGAGAGGTCTCGTGTCTCCGCTGAAATAGGGCGAGACCCACCAGGATATTGGTACAATCAGACCGCACTGCTGCGAGAGGCCGCACGACTTCTCTGGTGGGGGCTTGCTACCAAAACCAGGAAGACATACGCGACTCCAGCGAGATTCTACACTAGCTATTGCGCACTTAGGGGGTCCAACCTCCCTTTCCAGCAACTATGAATGCCCTCACGGGCTGGATTGCTGACTTGAGCACTCACCGCGTCAAGTCGAAGTCTATGAAGGCATACCTCACCGGCCTTAGGTCAGCCCATGTGGATATGGGGTTCGATGATCTTTCAGTGTTTCATCGCCCCCAGTTACAACGCATTTTTGCAGGTAGTCGCCGTCTTCGTGGCGAAGCTGACACCAAAGAAAGACGTCCAATCACCAAGGATCTATTGCTTCAAATCCTTCCTTATTTCGATAAGTCGACCCACGCCGGGGCGACTCTACATGCCTCCTTTTGCCTCGCCTTCGCAGCATTCCTACGCGTAGGTGAGTTTACTTACAGCAAGCGGGACCTTCAACAGGAGGACTTCGGCGAATGGTTCCTCACACGTCGCTCGGTGAGGCTATTCGACGATCACCTGGAACTCACGCTTCCAGCGTCCAAAACGGACCCATTTCGCCGTGGGATCACACTCACGGTGGCCGCATCTGGCGATGACGCATGCGCAATCAAAGCCATACGTCACCTCTTCAGGTGGGAAGCCCCACCTGATGCGCCGCTGTTCCAGCTGGGGGGCTCCTCCTTCACTAGGAAGGCCGTCACCAGCAACCTCCGCGAGGTGCTGACGTCACTTGGTGTTGAGGGCCATTATTCAGGCCATTCCTTCCGCAGAGGGGCTGCAACGTCAGCACGTGACGCCGGCCTTAGCAATGACGAGATCCAATTGCTAGGCCGTTGGAAGTCAGATTCCTACCGCCTCTACATCGTCACTCACCCAGCCCACATACTCAGAGCATCACTACGGCACCAGTACCTTCCCGCCCGTCCGCACTAGTGCTGTCAGTACCCCCTGCTTGCTGCAGTAGGTACCGTCAGGAGTCCTCTTCGAGACCTTCGCCCTCTTTAGATGACGTCTTGGGTTGTTTTGGGAGTTTTTCTAGCGCTGGGGCGCCTTTCTGCATGTCCAGAAAGGTCTTAGCTGCCCCAGTGTTGGATATGCCCAATCATGAATCTACATATCTACTTGTGCAGGCGTCATTTCTGTATGGCCTCACTGTTTGCGAGCACTAAACACCCATTGTAATCTAATCTAACTGAGATCTATCCGCAGGCTCAAACCATGCCGCAAACTTTGCCCTCTCATAGGCGGAAATCTACAACCTCAACGTCCACAGCAGGGTCTGGCGCCTCTTCTGCGTCATCTCGGAAACGAAAGACGACAGCTTCGACAACTCCAGCGAGTCCACCGCCAAACAGCAGCAAGCGTATAAATATAAAGACAGAAACGAGTGCTCCGACCGAGCCTAAGGTGGCGAAGTCGGTGGGCAAGGTGTCAGAGTAAGTCCTTCCCCTACCTACGCTTACTGCAAAGACTGACGAGGCACTTACGCTACAGCTCAATCTACGATACCATCATCGACTTCAAGATTGGCGAGAGTCTCACTAGCTTTGGCATTCATCGTGGACTTCTCTGGCGTACGTCGTCGTTCTTCAAAGAGAAGCTCTCTATTAGCGAGACAACGGAGGGCGGCATCGCTGCCCGAAGTATTTTCATGAAGAACGAAGATCCAGACGTCTTTCGCCGTTTTACAACATGGCTCTATTCCAAAACCGTCATTTTAGAATCAGAGAACTACAAGACTCTACCTTAGGAAGTCATCATCCAGACCTACTCTTTCGCCGAACGGACTAGGATACCCGGTTTACAAAACACTTACGTAGACACGGTTATCAAGAAGAGAAGGGATGGAGGACTATTTCCCGCGCAGGGCGCGGTCAACACACTGTGGAGATACCCTGGAAAGGTACTCCGGCTTCGAAGATTCCTTCTCGACCTCTTTGCTACAGAATACAATCTTTCGAACGCCCTCGCAAATAATGGCTCTTACCATCCGAGATTCTTGCAGGGATTAGTGCTTACGCTTTATGGAATGAAGGGAAAGCGGACCATGTATAATCCGGTGGACTTCTGGCAGGAGAGAGTGAAACTACGTCGATGACAACGAGAACCCAATCCTCCTCGATTAAGACCCTCAGCAGCTTGGAGTCCTTCCTCATCTCAGATCACAGTCACTCAGCGTACAACAGACACTCTACATACAACAAGCTTCACCATAACGATATATCATTCCCAGTCGCGGAGAGTTAGTGCAAGGATTTGCCATACGTGCCATACGACAACTATACATCATCTGCAGGAAGAGCGAGAAAGAGGGAGGATCTTTGACCGGCATTATCACACATCTGTATTATTACCAAGAAAAGGAGCTACAGCAAGGATTGTTCACCAGCGTTATACCAATTCACATAGCATTCGCGAAGGCTCTTTCAAAGGCATATCATATATTCAGTTCTCAGCTAGCCGCAAGAATCAAAGCTACAGCCAACGCCTCTGATCTCATTCACGCAACCGTAGCCATCTCTCCTCCACATATAACCCCACCAACATTCCAAATCCTCCCATCCACCACCCCATCATCTCAACCTCCTAGCTTCTCTCTCCGACTCAAGCAGGCATAGAATATCATCTTCACGCACTATAGACATCCCACCTATCAGCACTCATCCGCCAAGCTCATCACGAGCGCGATAAGGAGGAGAATGGAAGCGTACCGGCCCCCTTGACGTTGCGGATGATGGAGCGGGTGGTATCGTCCATAAATTCGACGCGGACCTGTGTGACGCCTCCTCGAGAACCTGCCCACATGCCATCAGCACCCCGAAACCACAACAAGTACGAGAAGGAACAGCGTGGCGGTATCATATTCATTCTCGAGCGTACAAGCCCTGACTTACGATTCCTTGGAGATCTTTTCATGCAATCCCCCACGCTGATTTTCATTTCGTCTTCTATTTGCGATCATACTTGTCAGCCTCAGTCCTCATTCGTCATGATTATGTACCTTAACGGAGTGAGGTAAAGACACTGACCCAGGGACCAGTCGTCGCTCCTCATTTGCTCCCAGGCTTGCATACCCACCAATTTGTAGTGAAAAACTTCCTCTCACTCTCCGAGAGACTGTCTTTCACCGCTGTTCGCTTCGGCGGACCATACTCTCTCCTCTTACTAGTATCGTAGAGGATGCCACAGGTTTTTTTTCAGCTTCGCTGTTTGTAGCTTGCTTCACAGGTTACTTCGACGACGCTGAGCTTTCATCTTTTATCTTCCCAGGTTGTTTAGGCTTTTCGGACCGACCGACGACCTCATCCCTCCTCTGGCTTTTATCCCCTTGATCGGCCTGAGTCTTCATATCTGCAGGTTCGCATTCATCCCGATCATGAGTCATGAACAGTTTCTGCCTGCTTCTCTAGGTTTCTAGGTTGGTGTTTTCGTCTGGACTCTAGGCCTTGGCCGACGGGAATCGAAAAGCACATTTCATTCGTATGGCCAAGTGCGCCACAGTCATCGCACGTCCACTCGCATTGGGGTTGCCAGTGAGCATCATCCCCACAGCCCCAGCAAATCTTGGCCTTGTTGCAAGTAATCAGGTCGTGGTTGCCCCCACATTCAGCGTTCTGACAGATTCGCGGCTGTCCATGAATAATCCCACGTTTTGTCTTCCCGGCGCGTGACCTCATCATGGGTGGAATCCCACTTGCGATAGCCACATTTTATCAGGCTCTGGGCCTCTCTGGTTACTCCCTCGATTGGGTAGTTTCAGGTATAGACAGGGTTACAGGCCTCTCCATTTGCAGAGCCTTTGCAGGTGGTAGAGCCGGGTTATCGGTATCGTACTGATTGGACGATCTGAGCCCAGTATTCCTCTCTTTTGCATGTTTAGGTTCCTTCTCTTGCAAGCCCGATTGTTTCACCGGACTCCCTAACTCTTGAAGCTATTTGATGTCAGACAGTCTTCAATACACCTTCATATGGGGAGACTTACGTAGGTCCTCCAGGCTGTATACCCATTTCCGTCCGCGACATAAAACTCGGAGCATGAGTCGGCTTCCTCCAACCTCCTCAAGTTGTATCCCTTCTGCGGTGGCTCCAGACACCACACACCGTTGAAGTTTTTCACAGGTGCTCCTCTCAGGTCCTCAGGTTTCTGCCCAGCCTCCGAAGTGTTGCTATTCGGCACCGGTGCTTCCGCCGTATGTTTCGTCGACTGGTTATCAGGTAGGGTCTTCTCCAGGTCATATGCTTTGAAGATCCCTGTCACGACTGTTGCAGGGTCGTGGCTGGTTATTGAACTGTTGATCCTAACGCTTGTTCCTCGAACAATCTGTTGTTGATCCTCAATAGCAGGTACGTTCACTATAATATCGCCCTGTTGAACATGGCGTACAGGTTGATTCAGGGGCGTGCCAGGAGGCGGCAGATGTGAATTTGCTGGTACACGCAGGTGATAGGCTTGATGGGGCTGGAACACGCGTGGTGTTTGACTGTTTGTTGAATACTCATGGCATTCGTTGTTGTCATTGGTAAGACCCCAGCTGCCACATGCGTCGGTAGTGGTTGATACTGGTAGTCATCTGCAGGTGACACAGCTTGATACTGGTATGGCGCTCCAGGTACCGAGGGTCGGTGGTCGTAGGCGTTTGCAGGTACTCCGTCCGGATATTGCTGTGAAGGGTACATTGCTCCAGGTGCGAGAGCCTGTGTCGCTTGCGCTTATGGCCCAACCGGCTCAGGGTATCGGCTTGAATCAGGGTTCACGTAGTAGGCATAGCCCGAACTTAGATGAGTGTACTGGGCCATATTCCTGCGCATACGTTAGCGATCTTCCCATTCGCTTTCGAGACAGCGCTCTGGCGAGGGAAAGCTGTGCTGAGCCGCTTGACGAACTTAGAAAGTCTTCTTGCTGCTCTGTTGATGGTTTGAAGGTGTCAAGGTCACGAGGCCAAGATTGCAAGTAGTCACTGGTGGAGGGTGTGGAGCGGGCGCTGTACGCTGACCAGTGTCGGGAAGCGCGTACATTTGGGTGATTATCACAATTTGGAATTGAAGTTTCGTGTAGTTGAGCTTTCATGTCTTAGAATGCAACTACCTACCGCACGTCTCTGCAGAGATATGTGTGGGAAAGCGGTCGCACGCTTTCAAGCCTACAACTAGTATAAGTTACTGGTTAGTGACGGACTACTAGTGATTACCTTTTAAGTCTAGTCGTAACGGTCAGCAAAACCCGTCCCGCTTCTTGCAGGTTCCAGGTCCGCCATCAAGCATCGTGTCGAAATAAGGTTCCCAGCCTCCTCTCAGCCACCTGTTGGAACAACCACCTAATTTGTGAGGGTTACAAATACTGGCCCAGGGGAGTCCTGAGATGGAATAATTCATGCAATCTACACACTACTTATTCTACCATAGTTACCTGATATCTTGACACATCGCATGATTGTGAGTTTGTGGAGAGTTCAGTATCGACACGGCCAATCCTCGCATCCAACCCTCCAAGTCACAGTCCCATCCTCCAGCATCACTATCATTCTCCCTGTGACCAGTCTCGGTCACCGTGAGCTAGCCTCAGTCCTCCAGCCTCAGGCTTTACCATGCCCTCTTGAGCCTTAACCCTCATCTCTGCGGCCGGTCTACCCTCTTCCGCAGTTTTGAAAGAGTCTTCTGAGCCGCTCCGCTCAGAATGAAGTCGCTGTAAAGGCCCTTGCACGTCATCCCAGTCAGGCTGAAGGTCGTTCAGGTTCTCCACTCCATCGTCACAGTCTATTCGCAATTTTTAGATCCCAGTGCACCAAGAGACATTTCTCAGTATTCACCAGGCGATTTTCTATCTTTCGATCCTCTTCCGCGCAATTTCTTCCGTAGAGCTCCTCCTTTCCGCTTCTCAAAATCAGGTCCGTCGTTCGAGGTTTTCGGCGGATTAGTGATCCACGAATTGAGCCTTGGGCCATTCTCCTCTTGGTCCTCGGTCTTAATGCCGTCGTGATTGGACTCGCCGCCTTCTGGGTCAAACCGGATGTTATAGTGCCGCTGTCCATGTGGTTTTGCCATTACAGGTGTTTCCGTGCCCCTTGTCGGCCCTTCAGGTTGGTATTCGTCAAAACCGGCAGTGTCTGTCTTCCAGTTCAAGTCAATGTCCCCTTCCGTATTCAGATCAACTAAACCTGATGTCGGCGTGGCAGGTCTCCAGGCCTGTTGAGAATCTGCACCTCCCTGCTTTGGATATCCTCTTTCGGGGAACCCTGCCATCCATGCCTTCACCGCTGCCTCCAACCCAACAGTCGTCAGTGGACCCCCGCGGTCTAGGCGTCCAGATGCGTACATCGGCTTAGGTCTTATTGGTTGCCGCGAGTCAGGTATAGGGGTACTCGATTCAGCTCGATCCTGGAGGTCCTGTGGCCTTTGTTTCTTGTCCTTCAGACCCGTTAGCATAAAACTTAGTACTGGTGATCCTGAGCGTTACAGCCGGTACCAATTTCCCTTCCAAGGTCTCCTTATACCACTTTCCTCGGATGCAGACCATCTTGATGGGCGATGTTGCGGGTCTTCCAGGAGTAATAACGTTGGGAGATGATGCAGGCGATGCAGCTGCAGTTTTTGAGATGTTTGACATCAGCATATATGCCACACCGCCCTGCGTTTGGTTACTAATCGCTCGCATCATCGTTGTTGGAGTACTCACTGAATGTGCACGTGATGAAGGTGTTTGAACCGTGTATGGCATGATGAAGCTGTGATTCTGTTCAGGCAGCCGCATGGAGTTGTACCCAGTGTATGCAGTGTTGCAAGGGATGTGGACGGCGGGCGTGCCATGGGTTGGCGTAGCAGTATGAAAGGTGGGCATGGTATGCGTGCTCGGCACAGTGTGGTAAGACCAACCAGTCTGGTGGCTTGTTGCTTGGGCATAGCCTTGCGTTGGTGGGTATAGTACACCATATCCGTATGTAGCTAGGGGCCGTTGAGGAGCAGGTTGCAGGTTCACGGAAGCGTGTTGGACGAGTCGAGCGTCCGCAGGCATGAGTTGATAGATTGTCCCAGCTGAAACGCCGTCCGTGGGCTGAGAGCAGGGAGAGACAGTTGCATTTGGGTTTGTAGAGCTCCGCTGTCGATCAGAATTTTGAGCCGCGGCCAACCGCTGAGACAGGTCCTCGATCCGCAGTCGCGGGGTGTCGCACATCATTCTCCTGTGACGATCTGTCAGTCTGGCTTGTCGCTGACTGTATGTAGTCATGTAGCCTCACAGCGAGTTCCAGCATACCGAAGTTGCTGTTAACAGGTCTTTGGCTGTTGTACCACACGAATCCCTGTGCTCACGCACTGAGTATGAGTGACACACTTGGAAGACTTTATAGCAAGCGTGTTCACTTACAGTTGGCTATGAACAGAATTTCTGATTAGGGTGGCGCTATTCTTGAAGATATGGGTTTGTGGGTTTTATGATCTCGTTGTTGATGAGAGAGTTTTGTGATGTGTAAAGCACAAGCCTTAGAGAAATCTTTCACTTCCGAGTGTCGACTTCACGGCTTAGCTCCCGCTCTAATGTTAAAGTACTATGTCACTCTACGAGCCCTTTTCTGTTATTGACAGTCGTCGCATAATCGATGGCATCATCGTCGTTCCTCCGCTTGGTGCACCGTCGACCTCGCCACCTTGACATAGTACCAGCTCATTCCTAACTGCTTACTTCTTTACCTTCTCGGTTAACAGGCTTTATCCAAGACACTGTCGTGGGACAACTTGTAATCGGGTTTGGAAGAGGCTCTCTGTCTTCGCCGTAAGGGGGAGGAGCTACAAGCAAGCCCGGCGGCGCGAACCTCCATTAGCACTGTATGCTCAGTTATCCGTTCGTTCCAGCCTCACTTGAAGTCTTCATCACGGACTTTAATTCCAATTTTGCCTCCGTACTCGACTCTTAATATTCTCTCGTATCGTAATATCTTTATATCAATCGTAAAGGGGCTAGTACTAGACTCTTGCACTGACCTATCAGTATACTCGTTGTTGATTTTATCGTGGTGAGCGGCGGCGGAAAGCCTTACTACGTCCTCTCTCGATCCATTTCAAAGACGTGCCTTTTCGCTCACTTCATCCATGCACTTTGGCTACTTTCTCTCAACTACAGTCTCTCAGTTCCCTAGTCTTTATTGCCGTCTGTTACATACAGGATTTGATACAGTCTACCACTGGAACTTATCTCTGCTGAGAGATACGTTCATATCCCGCACAGCTTGTAGCTAGTCAACCCTCATCCAATATCTATAACTATGGTAGGCGTATATAGACAGGAATAATATATATGCGTTCCACCTTGCGCTAGTTGCGCTTGGCATATATATAGAACATCCACAGTACAACGCTAAATGCTGATAAAGCTTTTTCACTTATTTCATGTATGCATGATTACTGTTACGTTCTCGTTTATGGTCCAAAAATTTATTCACATTATTGAGCGGAAATGCATCACGCCGGTTTTATACACAGGTCTTCTCAGGTATTTTAGATCATATCTCCATGACTCACTGCAGGTGGATCCTTACCCATTCGCGCGTAATCTTCTCGAACAGTATGGTCACATGTACGACCTTATCAGATCCCAGTTTCGGACTTTCTCCTCGATTTTCAGGACCAGTACCATCGTAGATCCCCAATGATAACCATTTCAGGAACGCCGCATCCTCCGTGTAAACCGGACACAGGTTTTGCACAATTGGCTGGTAGCTCTCCAACCTTGCAGCTGAAATACATACAGGTAACAGGATATCTCTGTACCCACACAGTGAATCCCTCCACCGATTACACACGAATGTCGGTGAGGAGCAGGCAAGATTGATTGTACAAACGCCCGTATATTTCAGGCCTTGACGAAAATCCATAAATTGGTCATGCGTAAGCAGTGGGCTACTGCAGCTGTGTCTCCCGAACTGATGCTTCCCACCGTCAGGACCATCCTGCAACCAGCAGACGGGGCACCTGCCCTTCAGGATGTTGAAGACCGTCCGCAGATGAATTCTGTGATTTGTGTCTTTCAAGCCTTCTATCAGGTTAATTGGCAAGGCGCTGGAACCTGATTGCCCGAGTTGTGTATATTTGTAGCTGCAGGTCTTCCTCCTGTGTCCCCACCAGAACCACCAATTTGTGGCGTGGAAGCTTGTCTCAATCCACCAAAGCTTGCGCTAAACGCCCCTAGCTACGTTGATGGCGAGATGTGGCTTGCCGGTGTGAAGCCCATGCTCGGATTGGGAGTCGACCGGTCGCCGTACCAGTCACCAGCTGTTCGTGGGATTTGGCCTATGCCAAAGCCTGGTCGCAAGATGTTACCATCTCTATAGGACAGGTTACTCCGTAGTACAGGTAGTGATCTCGATGTATCCACAGCAGGTTCTCTCAAAGGAGTTTTAGAACTTCCTTCATCCTTGCGGGTGAGAGGGTTCAGATGATAAAGCCCGTTATCAACATCAGTCGTCTCCAGGTCGGAACCGAATCTTGTAAACGCGGTGTCTTCAGCGGGCAGACGCCCCTCATTTTGCAGGTCGCTCATTCTAGTGTCATCATCTCCATATTGGTGTTGCTCCCCACTACCCGTTCGACTAGCAACATCAAAAACAGGATTAAATCTTCGTTGAAGGGACCCGTTTTCAGGGTTGCCAAAATTTGATGGCAGTGGCGGCCTCAGTACAGGGACTTCGAAGGATCCATTGGGTCTGACACGGCTTTGCTCCCCAGCTGCGACGCTTCCGCCGGCATAGGCACAATTATCACAGCAAGCATAACCCGAAAGCATGCATGTAGGTGTATCAGGGTCGTTGTCCATGAATGCAGACAGTGGTTGCCGCCTGCATTTCGACGTCTTCAGGAAAAAAGCCATTGTTTTTGTCTCGTCGAGTGGCGTTGTCAGGTTCGTAAGGTCTTGCCACTTCTGTTCAGGAATTAGACACAAACAGGTCGCCATTGTTGGCCATCCTTCTCGACCTGCCCGTCCACTTTACAGGATAAAGCCAGATGCGTCAAAGTATGCATCGTAAAAGAAGACCACGGCAATGCCATTCTCGTCTAGTTCAGTCCCTAGTCCAGGTGAACCTACCATTATAGCAGGTTCGGTCTTCATCAGCCAGGCTTCCAGCTGGTTTTGTTTACCAGGTAGATCGTTGTAGTAGCAGTTGGCGTTCAGTTTTGTCGCAAACCACCTGCATTGTTCCGTTATTCGAGGGAAGACTATTGCCTTGTGTCCAGGTTGCAGGCTCTTCAGGTGTCCTTTCATGATCTCTACGGCCTCCTCCATTGGCTTTGACCCCTCGATCCGCCGGACGTTGTAGGAGATATTGGCTCGTGTAGTTGATTCTCGAATCATTGCAGCAGAGTTCATATGCAGCTCAGATCTTGATTCTGTTTCCATGTAAGATGGCATGGATGCAGTAAGTGCCACACGTCGGGGGGCTAGACGGGCCAGGATGTTCACCTCCTCCATCGCTTCCCTATACTCTCGATCCAGGATTCTGGTATAGACCTCGTCAAACACCACCATGCTTAGCAGGTTCCTACTCGTCAGGACGTTGACGTACTCCGTAAAATCATCACTCGATACCAGCTTGACAGATACGAAAACCAGGGTTTGCGCTTCTCTAACGCCTCTCATGAATTGAATGCAGGATATGCCTCGCTGTTGGCATTTTCTCATCGTTCTCTCCAGTAAAGCCACGGATGGGCTAACCGGACCACGGTCTTCGCTGGGTGGGGCAGGGAATTGTAAATAGCATACTCTTTCCTCCGGCAGTTGGTAGTACTATAAACAGGTCACAAGTCTCATATTGCACAGCACACAAAGCCCGGCGTTGCCCTTCCGTACGAAATGTTGTATAGTCAGGGCTCATCAACTTCAACTTTTCCAATACTATTGTCTCTGTATCTGGTCGAGGTACCGGTAGATCGTCTGCGAAGATGTCTTGTTTGGAGTTGCGTCGGGGTCGCGTGTGGCTCCCCAGACTTGAGCTTGTGGTAATGTTGCCAGGTTCCGTGCGACTGATAGGCGTTTCCGGTAATTGTCTCATTCCGTGGCTAGGTGTTGTGATTGTCAGGCTTGAGCTTCGTGGTATAAGCACCCCGTGTTGCTTAGGGTTTGCTGAAGTCTTCGCTGGTGGTTCAGATACCTCCTACTGAGTATAAATGTCCATCTTGGCTATGCCCTTGTTCCAGGTTGAGCTAACGCCCCGAAATTTCAGTACAGTGCTCGCATGCATGCCACAGATCAGGTCAGATCGGATGCCATAATGTACCCTCTGGATGTTGCCACTGTGGGCGGCCTACGCGTCACTCGCTGATTCATCATTCAGGTCGAGATCCACGGGATTTCCCTCAAAAGTACATCTCGGTTGAGTGAGATTGCCATGTGTCTCCAGGGTTGCACGGTGATCTCAAGGCCCAGGTGATCCGTTGTGATTTGAGCCAGCGCCTTGGAAAGCTCCTCTGTAGGGGCAGAATCACTTTTTGATCCGAACAGGTATGGTGAACTGTCGTAGGCCGTCAAACCGACCCTCTGTTGCAGGTATAACAAGAAATGCTCCACATCGCAGACGTATGCTATGATGATTTGGCCCACCAAAGCCGGCAGGAACCTTGCAATCAGTCGAGGCTTTCCCGTTCGACTCTACGCTTTGTAGTACTCGGTGACGAGCATGACCGCAGAGTCATGGATGAACAATCCTCGCAATGCGGTCCAG